ATTCTTAATTACGCTAGATAGTATACCAAATCCCAGTCAAAATTATAAGTATTTTCATTAACTGACCGACTACCTAAATAATTATTTTTCACGTTCAAGTTAATTTATTGTAATAAAAATTTATTGTAATAAAATAATAAATTTTTTATTAGTGAACGTACTTCTATAAAATTGCGTATATATATAAAATGAGCTATAAACTAATTTTCCGGGAGCTAATAATTGTCTCTCAAAATTTAAATTATTATTTATATACTGTATATTATTGAAATTGCGTATCTGGTGATAAATTTTGACTAAAGGACTAAAATTATGATTTCATTATATACAATTATGGTTCAAGTATAACGCGAGAGTACAACCTTCCATTATCAGTTATCACGTGAATAAGTTTTGAGGATTCGATCGTATCTATTTGATGACGACATGAATATATTCAGATTATGAAATTCTGTCGAATTGTCTAGCAGAAAAAAATATTTGCACTTTGCTGATAGTGAGAATATCGATACCCGTTGAAATATTTCGTCTTGTTCGACACTCATATTTATATACACTCTTTATTACTTAAAATATTGTAATTAGCGTAAATAATCATAAAATATATACCTACAAGTCTACGTAAAAGGTCAGGTTCAATTTGTGTACAGCCAGCCAAAAGCTAACAGTAAAATTTTTTGACAGTTTTTATATATTTGAGTCTTGTCTTTTCCGGCGATATACAAATTTTATTGCAATTATTGAAAAAAACGATCATGTGATTAGTACTTTTTAGTAGCCAATCGTCCATCCAGATTTTCCCCTTAAACAAGTTATGTTTTGTACGTTAGTGATACACAAATCTTGATCACTTTATTATAAAATAATCAAATGACAAATTGGTTGTATCAGGTATATACCAGTATACAAAATAAGATATATTATAATTATAGTTAACTGGACCAATATTTATGTCTCTATCTCCCTTGTAAATAGAAAATAAATAATAGTTATTTGATAGGGGTTAGAATATCACCGAACTGCGAAGCAGTTCGGATGATATTTTGACACCCCTATCAAATAACAAAATTTAAGCGTCTGATGTCATTCATTAATTCCTCAGATTTCACATGACCATATAATTTGTCCAATAATTTTGATGTAAATCACGTATCACGCCGTTTCTCAAAAATATATATCAAAAAGGGTATATTGATATTTCATCTTGTATAGTTAGTTACGAGTAGATTAAGTAGAATACGAAGGTAATAATACTTCAAGTGTTTAGATTTTCATTTATTAACACTAATGAAGTATTGTTTCAAAGCAAAAATAAAAAAATAAATTACAAATCAGCCTATTAATAATGTCAATTTCAATATAATCGTGAGTTATCTTATGTTTAACTTTAATAACTCATAATTATAATACAAAAGACAAGCCACTAAAATTCTACGAATTCTATTTAAAATATATTATATGATAAAAGGATCATGTGATTCTTGCTGATCGAAAAAACAATTCATGAACGACTTCAAAAGAATAGAGTAGAGAGAAATTGATCAAACAAAAAAACACTAGTGCAAAAAAATATATTAATAATAAGTTGTAAGTAAAAGTAAGTAAAATGCAATATAAAAAGTAAAAAGAAAATTCCTCCTCGTGATTTTTATTAATCCAAATATTTTGTTTGGAATAAATCCTGGTTGCTTTTAAAATACAATCCACAAAAAGTGAACAAATCCAGCGGTCCCATGATAAAAGTGCTGTCTATAGAAAAAGAAAAAACTGAAATTAGCCTCTAATATAAGTATATGATGTTGAATCGAGCCAGTGGTGGCGGGCGATGGTGGTTGGACGATTATGTCATTATGTGGATATGATTATCAGTAGGAACCTTATCAATCTTGATACTAATAGAATCTTCTGCGTCCAATAGTGTACATTCGAGTTCTTCCTTAACGTTAATAGATTCATGAGACTTGTTGATAAATATTTCCATCTTTTCGTCATTCAGTCTTTGGTAGGAATAGCTACTTTCAATAACTTGATTTTATGTATAGGAACGCTAAAAGACGCCTTCCCGGAGATGCGAAATCTTCACAGAAGTTCACATTTCGTCGGAGATATCAAATATAAATCTATCCGTAACTTCCTCACCTAAAACAAGACAAAGTGCCATGATGTAGAAATACCTGCAATCACGAAAAGAAAATTTTTGAGAAAATTGAATTATAATTAGTCCGAAGTGTAACGAAGGACTATATATTATTCGTATCGGTTTCACAAATGTCCTGTTGTCCGTCCGGCGCGTGATGATGTACAATGATAACTGCGCTTCGGACTTGATAACGGTCTCCGTTTCCTAGTATATATAATATGGACACAAATTTATAAACTAGTCTAAAAATATGTATTTATAGTCTGGCATTCGTAATATTTGTAAAGTATATAAATTTGTTACACTTAATCATGAGTCATCTTTGTGTAAATTTACGCAATTTTTTATACTCATCATATAACTCAGAAGTTATTAAATAGGAAATTATCAGTATGACAATTAAGGAGTTGTGGTATGTTATAATATCAGTCATAACTTATGACTCATGACCATCTCAAAAAAAAAAGTATATAAGTACCTTTACCTATACTTCGTCCTTTATGTGTGTGTGGGAGGGTGTGTGGTGTGTGGTGAGGGTGTGTGGGAGTGTGGGTGTGTGTGTGGGGTGTGTGTGCGTGTGGTGTATGTTTTGTTTTCCCTCGCTCTTTTTCCTTTTCCTTTCCCTTTCCCCTTCCCTTTTTTTCGAGGTCCTGATCAATGTTGCTGCACCTCAACGTTGGTGATCAGGTGACAACAAGTTTTTTTTAAAGACTTGGCTAAGTCAGCAACAATATAAGCCGTGATCATTTTTTATCAAATAATTATTTAATTTAAAAATGTAAAATGTAAATAAATTGCCCAACCATTATACTTAAAATATATTTGAAAATGTTAGCTCTTAAACAAATCACATAATTTAATCGTTAATAAGCTTTAGTATTTCATTATCATCATCACAAATGTACAGTATTTATATTTAATATTGAATCTTTAATAATAAAAAAAAAAAATTTTATGTAAAAAAATATGTGAAGTCAATGAATAACTAGCAAGATAGGTGCACATGCTTGGAAATATTGAATTTGAATAGGGTTACAGTATATTTCGCCGAAAGCCATTTCGCCGAAGGGATGTTTCGCCGAGCCACTTCGCCGAATCGTCCATAGAAATGATAGCGATTATCACTCTTATAAAAATATTAATCACGCAATGAAAATAAATTTTTTTTTAAATATTCTGGTTTACACTCGAATATACAAATAACAAATTTATAAAATAAAACTTAGACGTTGAATAATATCTTCGATTCTTGATCGAGTACTTTAATATTTCATTTTTTAGTTTCTATTTTACATTTTTTTTGTCACGTCACCTATTTTTGCAATAAAAATAACAATTAAACAAAAATTCTTTTTATTTTTAAGTGTCTTTTCTTCTATGATATTATCACTTTAACATTCAAGTAACATATTAATTGTTAAGCAATAAATAAATAACTTTATTTTCCTGATCATTTATTCAGTAAAAAATGATATAAAATTAGCTAATTCAAAAATTTTTCTAGAAAAGATTTCTTTATATATTTAGTATAAAAACAATAAAATAAACAAATGTAATAAATAATGTTTCGGCAAATGTCCATTCGGCGTAATGGCGAAATGACTTCGGCGATAATATTGGAAATTAAAAAAACTAATAAGAATTTTGAGAAATCAAACCATTATAATTTAAAATCCGTTAATGAAGATAATTAATCTTGTTGATTACAACAAGAGTGACAAGACTTTCGAGTGGGTACCTTTATCAACAAACTATCATGTGTTAAAGAATTCCTGTGTAACGAGTAGCTAGATTAACCTGTAAATAATTTTGATAATAGCCAGAAACAACAGTTGCCGATATATTTCCTTTCGGTTTCGGTTTTCCTTAAACCAACTAAATTTTTTTTTTTTGTTTTTTTTCGGTTACCGTTACGTAAACCGAAATTCGATTTTTTTTTCTTTCCATTTTCCGGTTTTGTTGTTTTAAATTTAAAAATCTTACAAAAATTCTGTGAACCTAATATTACACTATATTTGAATTCACATTCTATCACTTATCACTTTGATACCCCTTATTTACGTTTAACAATATCATTATATTAAAATTCATAGTAAATACAAAAAAGAAATATCATCGGCAATTTGCTGTATGTATACAAAATTTTTTTTTAATTGATCAACTAGAACTAATTTTTAAAAAATCCCGTTTAAGGGATAGTGAAGTTGATATTTTTAAAAGCCTATCCTTTATTTGAAAGAAAATTAATTATAGTTTTTAAAAATTCTATGTTTAGTAAGTGATGTACAAAATAATTTAAAAAGAATTATTTCTCTTTTTTCCGCATAAACTTTTTATGCATGAAGATCATTGTTTAATTAAGTAGTTTTTTATAGATATTCAGAATGCCATGAGGTTATTACACATATATAAAGACAAAAAGCAAAAAAAAAATCTTACCACTTTACGCACAATTTTTCTTTTATACGGAATTGTTACTCTATATAAAAACCTATTACTCGAGAAATAATAAAACATGGTTGCTTCAAGCTTCATTAAAATATTTTCTATTGTTGTACTAACTGCTCTCTCAGTCTCGGCTCAAAGAGAATGTCCCTCACAAGCCGAAGATAATACCACCGAGAAAAAGAGGTTTATCGTTATTTTTGATAAAGAAGTCAAGAATGCTGCCGAAGATCATTATGAAATAATGAAAAAATGCTATAAAACACGTGTTCAAAGCATTGTTAAAGCTGATGAAAGTATTAGTACTGTGTCTGATCAGTTTGATCAAAGTATTATTAGGGATTTTTCTGTTGATGGATCTATACAAGGATATACCTCATATTTTACACCTGAATTTGCAAAAGCAGTTGAAAAGATGAAAAATGTTAAACTTGTTGAAGAGGAAAAAAAAGTTAAAGTGGATGCCCCTCAACGTTTTAATAAACGTTATTTCATAAATAAACGTGCAGAAGACGATGATCCACTAACAGACCTTGATCGTATTGATCAAGCTAAACGTCCATTGGATGGAAAATTTATTTACCCTGATTCGGCTGGAAAAGGTGTAAATATTTTCATCGTTGACAGTGGTATTTTCCTTACACATGAACAATTTGATGGTCGTGCCAAATTTGGAGGTGCTTTCTGTAAAAATTGTAAAAGAGATGATATAGATAGACATGGTACTTTTGTTGCTAGTGTTGCCGCTGGAAATACTGTAGGAGTAGCAAGAAAAGCCAATATTATTGATGTTAGAGTTTTAAATGCTAAAGGTGAAGGTTCAACTTCCAATATGATTGAAGGTTTATCCTTTGTAATTGATCAACACAAAAATGGTAAAAACAAGAATTCAGTTATTAACATGTCACTTGGAGTAGTTCCTGTATCACGAGCTTTAAATGATGTTGTCAAAGAAGTTACTGATGCTGGTATTCACATAGCTGTTTCAGCTGGTAATGATTCTGAAGATGCTTGTGGACAATCACCTGCATCTGCACCTTCAGCTATTACAGTAGGTGCTACCGAAAAAACAAGTGATGCAGTTACAGATTTCTCAAACATTGGAAAATGTGTTGACATATTCGCTCCAGGTCGTCAAATTTTTGGTGCTATTCCTGCTGCTGAAAATGATGATTATTTAGTACTTAATGGTACTTCTTTTTCTTCTCCACTTGTTGCTGGTACATTAGCTCTTTTAATTTCCAAGAGTAGTAATAAACCACCAGCTGAATTAACAAAAGATCTTATTAAATTATCAACAAAAGGAGTTGTTACTGGTCTTAAAAAGGGTTCTCCAGACGCCTTTTTACGTACTCCAGCTCCATAAATAAATTATATAGGCATTTTTTTTAAAAAAAGATTAGAAAAAAAACAATCTAGTAAATTTGAGAAAATGTGAAAATATCTCGTGATCCATAATTCTCATGTAAGAATTAAAAAAAATTTCATCTTAATTTCGTTCAAATGAATTATTTTTATACATTTTTTACTTATATTTATCTTAGACTTAAAACAATAATAAAATATAATAAATATATAATCAATTTGATTTTAAAGATTTTTGAATGTAAATACATTATTTTTTTTATTTGTTTCTATATCTTTATCATATTATTCCTATTTGAGAAACAATAACAAATCATTTTGGGAAAGTTATTTCGTTAATTTTCTTATAAACAGACAAACTTTTTTTTCAAAAAAAACTTTAATTACGACGTTAAATTTTATTGTAATAAATTCATTTGACTTGCTGATTTTCAGAGAAGGTAATTTTAAAAAAATTGAACGTTACATTAAGTATTATATGTTATCAGGCATTTACTAATTGGTGATTTATGTTAGTACAACCTGTTACTAAGTTGTATAGCCTGATAAAACAGTTACTCGGCACAACGTGACCTCGTAACTGCGGCACTGTCGTGCCTTACATGTCAGTGAAATTTGCTGAGCTGCGCTCAGTAAATCCCACCAATCATATTGCTTATTGCAAATATCGGCACTTCGTGCCGAGTAACTATTAAATATGAAATTATACATTATACTGTACATTGAAATTTGGTGATTATATTATTAAATAATAGAGTAATATAGCGAATAATAATAGTATTAGATAATTATTTTTTTAATATGTAAATCATATTGTATAAATATTTATATTTAATAAAGAAATGCTATTGCAAACTTCTTGTAACAGTGCTTTAATATGGTCAAAGGTAATCAATTTTTCTTTTTCCTTATAAAATACATTTTTAAGATCTAAAATTAATTCATTATCAACAAGTATAATATTTTAACTGTTAGATATTTTAATCGTATAAAATTTACGAAGAACTGGACGCCCAATATTACAGCAGTTGTTAAAGCGGCGATAGTATCTTCAATAATTCTGTAATTATTAAGACGATTAAATTATTTAGATAAAAAGAAAACAACAAAGTATTATATAATCGCATGGATGGTGCAGCGCATAGTAACGCATAACATCAGATAAGGTCTTTACATTATTCGACTTAATGGGTATAAGCGTTTGAATCAATTGACTTGAATGCTGACACTAATAATAATGAATATATATACTGTGTACGGAATTACCTTTAAAAAAAACAAATTAATAAAATAAAATTAGTTAAATGAAATATTAAAAGTGAAATATTAATGAGTAAAATTCGTTGTATTGTTGATTTTAAAAATTGTACGTTTGAAACAATGGTATTTGACTTTGTTAATATTACGATTAATTTATATTGGGAATTATATCTTTCGGATTCCTTATAAAAACTTTGAACGCAATAATATTTAATTGATTCTAACATAAGTTAATCTAAATTAAGTTCCTAGAGTCGCCTCCAAAAAAATGGTAGCCGAATTCATTCTGCCGGGTTACATATAATATTATGGATGATTCACTAACCCTAATTCTAAAGAACCGGCAAAAATGAATCCGGCTACCAATTTTTGGATGACTACTTAAATAAACAGTGTACCATGTACAGTGCAGTGTTCCTTCCGATTAGGAAATCCGAATTAGTTTTGTTCTTCCGTAAGATTATGTCAAATTAACGACCACCAAAAAGTTAGCTGGATTTATTTGCCGGTTACATCATGTGATTTCGGATAATTATTTTGGTAACTTTATGTTCTTTATGTTTTTAATATAATTATTCCCAATACATCGTATTCTCATTAAAATCTTCATGGTTTGACGATTTTTTTAGCACCATAATATCTCATCTAATGACAAAATTTGAACTAACATTTTCTAACATAAATGTCGTTTTGGCTCATTACATGACCCTTTTGAAAATGAGTTTATAAAAAAATTTATAAGTACATATTTACTTAGCATAATAAGAAAAAACGTCATTCATATTTGTTCTCGGTGTATTACCTCAGTTGCAATTACTCGATTATTGAAATGATTAAAATGAGGAAATCATACTATGTAACAGGTATGTACAGTATAACTGGAAGATTCCATTATCACGGGACTAAGTTTTGAGGGATGGTGAGAATATCGATATTCGATACACGTTGAAATATTTTGTCTTGTTTCGCATTCCTAAATCACTTATAAATGAAGAAGCATATTTATCATGCAATATATTACCTGAGTGAAAATCTTTATGAACAACGCAAATCCAGAATTATGATGAATATCAAAAAGTCCGCTTGAAATTTGTTGTAATCTACCGTATAGCCGTATAGCGCTGCATATAGACTATTCAAGAAAGTCCACTTAGATTGAATAGAGGAGGGGGTACTATAAAAAGGGGTACGTACATTTATACTTGCCACCCATTTAAATGGGATTGGACTCCCATTCCATCCCCCAAATCCCAAATCCCGTTTTTTTTTCACTGCAAAATTATTTTTTATTGTGAAATTTATTATATCAATAATGATTATATTATTATAATACTGTATATAAAATATTATTTTACTATGATTGATATATTATAAATTGAGGTGCAACGATTTTGAATTATAATTCCGGCCAAAATTTTCTTAATTCTGGCCAAATTCGTAATGTCGGCCTAAAATCGGTTAAAATTGAAAATTTTAGGCCAAATGTAATACCGCATTTGCACAAAATAATCCTCAAATTAAATATGGAAAATAAAACTTCTTGTTGGTCTCTAAGTATTTATTAAGAAAAATTTCAAATATTTTTTATTTTTTAAGTTAGAACATAACTAGAAGTTGGTGTTTTTTTCCCATTAAAATAAAAAATAATGTGAAAAACTTAAAATTTGTCAAATATAGTGAGCAATATAAGTCTTTAAATTAAAATAAAAAAATATTTTGTGATATTGTATAATAAAAAACAAAATTAAAACATATAAATTTAAGTAAATTTTCAAATACAATTCAGATTCATTAAAAAAAAAATCCCCTTCTCATTTTATTTGTATAATTGTGTCGTAAAGTTTTAACTATTTTGGTAGTTTTTAATTGTTAAATAACCTATTTATTAGATATAAAGAATAATTAATATTATTAATAAAAAAAAAAATCTTTTTTACGATTAAATCAATAGAAATCTAATATTGAAATATGATTGGACAGAGATTTGGGTGGGATGGGATTGGGATGGGCTTTGGATTCTCCCAATCCCATTAATATGGGCGGCAAGTATAGGTACATTGGAAGGGTACTAATCATGTGATAATAGAATTAAGTAATCAAAAGAACTTTAACGATTTTTTCAATTCAATTTTCAGTTAATATGAAATAAAAACTTCAAAATGTAAAATGTAAAAAAATTCTGATAAACATAGTGATGATCATGATTCAGATCAAATTGATATCAAGAAATTCAGGTCGTGTTTCTATTTTACAAACTTTTATTTCTCTATTTTCTTTCAAGAAACAAATAACGTTAACGTGTGGGATTAATAATAGGTGACTTTTGATCGTGTAACGATACTAGTTGATGATTCATTAATAGTTTTTTTTAATAAAGTTTATCGGCTATGATTTTATTAAATTAAATATATATATACATAAATTTTTATTAGTACTGGGTACTTTCAAGTCGGAATATGATTCGAATTTTAATTAGTACCGCCGGGTATTTTTCAAAAATACCCGAACGATACCCCTGTACTATTTGAAGTACTATTACAAGGGGGTACTATACTACTATATGCAGCGCTATATGGTATATAATTTTCAGATTTATTCAAGTAATTTCTCAAATTTTCATTTTTACAATATTCTAAAACCATCATATACTCGTTAATATTGTTAAAGTAAATTTAAATTACCCTGGTAATAATTCCTTCAGACCATTCAGCTGAGAATATTTTACCAAACCACTTTCTGCAATATAAGTGATATTTTGAAATTTTTCAAAAGACATCCATTCAAGACATTTTTTATAATGTAAAGCATTAAATTGTGATTTTGTATAAATTCATCAATAACTTTATTTCTACTAGTCCAATTTTTAAAGTTATCTTTAAATCTTTTAGCATTACAAGGTTGGCACCATTTTTCTCCTGTACCAGTTAATTACATTCTTCACATATCCAATATACTTGTTTTATCTTCCATATAAACTATTCTTGTGTCTGAATCCTCTGATTCAGTAGTTGAAACATGATACTTTTAATGATCAAAAAATTATTATAATTTTAACTATAAGAATTCAATACTACTATAATTATTAATATGTTTCCAGCTTTTCTTCCGTAATAGTTAATTTGAATTATGTGGATTAAATTTTAATTCTACAAATAATTACGAAAATTTAAAATAACACCAAATTGATATTGTGCCTTGGTGTCGATTTGCGTCAGTTGATAACTGACGCGTGTCAGGTGTTGAACGAGCGTCACCTGTTTCACACAATAAAGCCTTATATATTTTTTATTACAGTTAAATATAAGTAAACGTAAACTATATATTGTAAAATTTAAAATTTGATAATTTTGAATGAAGTGTTTTAATAAATCAAAATATTTTATTTTTTAATGTGATAAATAAATCTATTTAATAAAAATTTATTAAGATTTGAAAATTTAATGTTTTAATTATATCTTTATGTTATGTGGCAAGTGACGCGCGTCAGTTATTTGACGCAGGCTTAAGGAACAACACATGAATTTTTGCAATTAAAAAATTAAAAAATCCAACAAGTTATGAATACATGCGCTTGATGGCGCATCTATTGTACAGATTCTGTCATTAATTAAAAGGACAAATTAAACCACTCTATATTCGATCAAACATTGATAAGAGAAAAATAATGAAACTTTGCTTTATAAAAGAATTATAAGCGATGCTGCTATGCATTATCACACACTTCTATAATAATAGACTTAAATTACATAAATTTCTATGCTTTGACGCAATATAAATTTAATTCTTTAACCTTCCGAATCATTCAAATTATTATCTTTACTGATATTTGTCATTTATACTTTTATTAGTGGGCACATGATGATGATATTCATACAGAAAATCTCAATTTTTGATTAAGAAACGAATACGATTAAAATTTATTTTTAGACAATAAATAAAGATTACTTGTCCAATATTGCATTCATCAATATTAGATTCAATTTAATGGGGCGACATAAATCATAAAATATAGTTTACAACAATATAAATTATGATAGCGTTACACCCCTCAGAAAACGATACATAATTAAACATCTCCCCACCCCCTTTTATATTTTTATACAAAAATCAAATATTTCAGGTGAAATACAATATATTTAATATAATCCTTTAGTTTTCTACAATAAATCCAATTTTAATATTCTAATTCTTACTGATGATACTAATTATTGGCATAAAAATATATATATATATATTTCAAGTATAATAAAATCTCGCACCTTAACGCTTAAATGAAGTTAGAAAAATCAAGAATTCAATTCCAAAAAAATTTTAGTATATACATAACTTTAATAATATATATATAATATAATCGACTAATCGTTTATACAAAATTATGATCTCGTAAATCTCAGAAATTTTTAAACAAGAATGAACAAGACCTTAACCAAAATATATGAGTTAAAAAAGAAATAAAAATCAATAAATCAAATAATTCAAAATAAAATCAATAATAATTTAATGACAATAAAAACACAATATAACATAATAACATACATGTATTCCTTTAATTGATATCTTGATCATCATTATTATCGGCATAAAGCCCCTGACTCTTTTTAAGTCTTGTACGTCAATATCTAATTTGCCTATCGTATGAATCATATTCAACATGTTGTCTTATATCTGGATTACTTCTAAAATCCTTATTTTGTTCTTTCTTGTTAAATTGATATGACATGTCGTTATTAATATCATGAGTTCTATGTCTTTCTCTTTCGTCTTTCAGTCTAAGTCTTTCTAAAGACTCTTGTTCTCTTAACTTTTTTGCGTATTCTTCTTGTTCAATTTCAAATTTTTCTAGTTCCTTACGCTTAACCCTTTCACGTCTAAGTCTTTCATATCTTAATTGTTCATATGATTGACGGGTACTTTCTTCTTCAGTTGATGTAAGCATATTATGATATGGTGCTGATGATTGTCTTGTCGTAGTCGTAGTATAAAGAGGATATTGCGTTTGATGTTGCTGCGGGTTATGATATCTTGGAGCATAAGTTTCATCATCTGGTTGATCCATTAAGGAAAGTACGTTACCCATTGTTAAATTGAACAAAATTGAACAAAAAAAACTAGAAAAAAAAAAAAATTTTTGATAGTATATTATGAGTGGAAGGTTAAAGAAAAATCGAAAGATTGGTTAAACAAAATAAGTCAAAAGTATTTTTATATTATAAATCAAATTTTACTGTGCACAATGATGTCATTAGTCACGAGACATCAGATGATTAAATGATCGTTTTTTTAAAAGTTTAATTTTAAGCATATTTATAGTATTTCAGTATATATTTCAGTTTATTTTTTCTTATTAATAAATTTCTAATCTGAATATTAAACTAATAAAAGAATTATCATTATTACGTATCACATCATATTTTATCTATTTTTTTGAGATTAAAAAATGCAATAGTTGACTTTTGATTCAACGCAATAGAACTGAAACAAATATGGTCGACAATAGGCAAATCTAGGGTAATAGTTAACTGTTAAAGTCGATTGACTACGGAAGTTGATCCTCAACAATAACATATGATTACAAGTTAAAGTCAATCAAACTAAACATTAAAAGGGAACAAAAATTTTGTAAAAGCGAACGGGCCGGACCGGGCCGAAAAACCTAGACAAGCTAGACTCAAAACGTAGTAAATCACCCCATCTTCACAAATCACGAGATCACGCTTAGGTCGACTGTTCTTTTCAAATGTGAAGGAATAATAAAAGTAATTAGTGAATTGGAATTAAAAGTCATAAATAATGATTATACAAAATATTTTAAAGGGAGATTTTGAAATCCGCCAGCTTTTGACATCGAGAAACGAACGCTTAATTTTTCAAAATTGAAAAAGATTCTTAGCATAAAAATGATACGAAAGATTAAAGGGTAATTCGTAATATTAATGAAACTTTTTATCATCTTAAATACGCTATATATAATCTATTAAAAATTAAAACGTTTTTCTTAATATTTATTTTTTTTCTTCTTCAACATATTATTTTTTTTTATTAATATCGTAAAAATAAAATTAAATTCATAAAAATAAAAATAAAAAAAAAATACAAATAAACATAAATAATAATAAATTAAATATCATGATGTAACTAAAAGATCTTGAGGAAGTGTGTCAAAAGGAATAGATAGTTCATATTGCCTTCTAAGATCTTCATCTATATCATCCTCTAATTTTCTTTGTTGTAATAAATTATTTTTCATAAAGAAACTTTCATCTTTAACCATTAAAGAAGCCATATCTATTGTTGAAGATTGATCTTCATAAGTCGTCGTGTTTCGAAGCATTTTCTGTGTATTTAACGGTATTATAGGGAATTTCAATTTACGAGAAGTATAAATAGCTTGAGGATGGATTTTTGGAGGAGTTATTAATCTATTAGGAGAAGTATCCAAACCTTTTGATTTCATATAAGATAATCTTTTTCGTTCTGCTCGATCAAATTGATCGGATTGTTTTTTATATAAATGCCATTCACCTAATTGATTAACCAAATCTCTTATTGAAGGACGTAAAGAAGGTTCTGATGACCAACATTGTTTCATCAAATTAATATAACATTCAGGTATATCAGTATTTAATTTTGGTCGAAGATCATTATATAAGATTGCATTGATAAGTTTTGTATGATTATGATCGTAATATGGAGGTCGATTTGATAAAAGTTCCCACATTAAAATACCAAAAGTATAAATATCCGATTTTATCGTATAACCTTCATTTCTTAATATTTCTGGTGGCATAAAAGGTAATAAATCATTCTTATAATACCCTATTATTGGTATTGGATCTTTACTATCCCCAAGTCCTAATTCATTTACTGGAATTTCCAAATGATTTTTAAAGAATTTACCATGAGTTGTTTTATCACGATGAACTTGTTCTCCGTTATGTAATTGTTCTAAAGCGCAGGCTATCGAATGAAGTATTGATAATTTACGTTCCCAAGTAAGACGAGCAAAATGATGAGATACATAATGTCTTAAATCCCATTCAACTGTTTCAGCAACCATCATTAAATGTCCTGTTACGGTTTCTCGAGTAACTCCAAACAAACGAATCATAAGACCACTTTTAACACGAGAATAATAATGTCTTTTTAACTAAAACATAAAAATAAAAATAAAATTTTAATATTTTCTGAAATTTTTTAAAAAATTTTTTTTTTTTTTTATAAAAATTATCTTTTTAAAATATTCTCACCTCTTTAAGAAATAATGAAGGAGTATTACCAAGAGAATGTAATGCTACTTTTATTAATTCTTTCTTTTCAACGTATATTTTCTCATTTTCATCCCAACAATCTCGGGGTCCTTTCTTCCAATTTGCAGTATATACAGTCCCTACTTCAGATACGTCATATTTACTTACTCCGATAAAAGAATTGAAAGGAATCCATTCTAAATATTCTGTACAGTCAGTTGCATTTAACTGGGTTTCTCTAATAAAATAATCTATTCCTTTATCTCCCGTTGTCCAATTATCAAAATTTTCTTCAAATTGTGTAGATTGACAAGGTTTACACCAATATAATGAAGTTCCTAAACATTGTTGACACTCGGGACAATAGTTCTTTCTTGTAACACCCATCTTTTTTTTTATAAGCGGAAAATACTAATAAAGTAAAGTGGTTTTTAAATTTTTATAACAAAATTTTTGTTATAAAAAATTTCACTGTTATTTCTTTTATTTATAAAAGTGAGTTTAAAAAAAAAAAAATTATTTGGAACAAAAAAACGCCGTTTTTATACAGAATTTTTATAAAAGAACCTTCCAAAAAAGGGTAAATAAAAATAATTACTTTTAAAAGTATGATATTCACAATGAAAATCATTCGTTCTGACTAATTATTCTCTGGAAAACTTCTCCATTCTAGAATTTCTAGAATCTACAAAATCATTCTATTTATTACTTAATTCGGCCTAAACGATAAACAATATGCACAGAATATTTGAGAACAATTTGACAAATACTGGATACGGAAAATTTACTATCACAATTTTCCAAAAAATTATTCAAAGAAAAATTTAAAAGAAATTTAGAAAATTTTACAATTCAAAAGAAATGATTAGTATTCCGGATTCCGGAGTATCATATTGATTTAATGTTCTCATGAAAAAACGCAAAGGATGCAAAACATTACAGCAAAAAATATTTATCACATTTTAAGCCGGACGAATTCAGTAATAATAAAATCACGCAAAAAAAAAATAGTTCATATTCCGATTAATTGCGACAAATAGAATTTAAATAATTTACATTTAAAAGGAAAAGATTAGAGTTTAGATGCTTCAAAGTTTAAAACTTTTAATTTGTCGTGAAAATATTATGAACATACATCTTTTTTAACAATGAAATTTAGAAAATTTTCCCCTTAAACTAAAAAAAAAACTATGCATGTGATATCTTAATTAACTTGTACTAATGCAGCATTAAATTAAAGCTCCTTTGTGCAATATAAAGACAATATTTTAAAGAAACAAAGATTAAAGCAGCGAAGGTTCAGATTATCATAAAGCCATTATTTCTATTAAGGAAATTTATGCAGGAGGATTATAAAGTTATAGAAATTACAATGAATTGTGAAATCTTTTTTAACAATCGCATTTGGTCAAGATCAACTAAAATACAAGTTTCGTAACAAAGATAATTTTAAATGGATCACGAAAAAACGCAAAGGCTGAAAAGGCTAAAAAAATTGAACGTAAAATAGAAAAAGGTTATATATTTATTATGAAATAGTAAATATCGTAAAGTAGACGTGAAATGGTGAAAAGGGCAAAAAGAGAAAAGGAGAAAAAAAGGAAAGTAAGAACGGAAATGAACTGATGAATAAAGACATAAAAGAGAGGAGAGGAGCGAATGTGGCGTAGTACTGGCGCAGTTATTTTATTCAATTACAATCATAATAAAAAAAACCTTATTCATATCACAAAAAGGCGAATTTTCAGTATTATTATTTCGGCTAATTTTATTTCACCAAATTTATTCCGGCTAATTTCGGCTAATTACTACCCAGTTAAAAATTTTAGCCCATAGTAAAAAGCGAAAGCGCAGTCATTGTTGAATTAGTAATCCAATTACGTCAATTATCCTTATTAGGCAATGATCACAAGACAAAAAAAATTTTTTTCTTAATCTTTTCTCCGGATTAAAAAAAACCATTTTCTCTTTTTAACAATCCATCTATTACTATTTTAGTTTATTATAAAATGTTTTCAAAAATTCCTTCGTAAAATTCTTTTTAAGGTAATTTTATAATTTTCTAATTTTATTCTCTTTCAAAAATAAAATATAAAAAAAAAAAAATAATAAATAAAAGAATGAATGATGATATCTTTTTGCATAAGGCTGTTTCAAACTGAATAATTTATTTTAATTGTTGAGAAAATGCCTCTCTGATTTTTCTTTCTTTTTTCTTTTTTTAATTTTACTTTTTAAAAAAAAATTTAAAAGTTATTATTATCCATACTAAATTGTTTTTATTCTTTCAGTTTTATTAATGTGAACAAAGCATCAATCGATAATCAGATTTTATAAAATGGTAAGATTTATTTTGTAAAGATATTCATATAGTGCAATGTATGTATTTTTTACACCTTCGAAATCCGTTATTAATGAGATAAGATTAAATCACGAAAATCTAATTATTTTATTTATTTATGTTTAGCAAGGAGATTTAGGACGCATCATTTGAGTATGCACCCTTTTATTCTTCGTAATGAGTGGTTGATTCTTATAGTTAGAAATTAGGAAATGTTTACAGTTAAGGAGTAGTCCCTATCCCTCCTCCTCCTCCTTCTCTCCTCTTCTCCTCTCCCCTCCTTCTCCCTCCTTCCCTCTCCTAAATTATTTATTATAATATTGTTTTTATTTTTATTATTTTTAATTTAATATTATAATTCATTGTGACAAAGAGGTGTGAAGAGATCACAAGAAAGAAATGTATCAATTTAGTTTATTATTAAAAGTAAAATAAAATGGCTATCAATTATTTTAGGTTTATATTTTTTTGTCATTTACAATAAAATATAACGATAAAATGAAAATTTTCTATTAACGGCTAAGGGATAGTTCAAACCACGTGATAGTTGTCGAATAATTTTCATTTTAAAATGATTAATCATTTTACATTGATAATATTACTGCGATTCTACTATACATACAATTAAAACTTGTAAACCAAATAATGAAACAGCATGATATGTCGATCGCTTTATATGGTATACAGGATTGATTTTCATGGAACTTCAATGAATTTCACAGAAAATTATTACTACGCATTTTTAACGCATTTTGCATTTTTGCGCATTTCATACATTTTTACGTGGTAACAACTACTTTCCGAAGAGAACAAAATTTAAATTATAGGAAAAAACTCATATAATTTGTTCACATGCATGCACAAGTGGATTGTGTTGGTAGTTTTTTTCTTGGCGTGAATTGTATCACTATAATAGAAATTTTAAATAACGATGACGAAATTTCTTTTTTCGCTTTTTTTTCGCGTAAAAATATATCTGATGTGTTGTTTCCTTTTTCGTTTCCTTGTATATTATCATTATGACAATCACAATACAACATGCATGATAAAATGATGAAGGCGTGAAAATGATGCAGGTCAAGCCGCTCGGACAATGCCACATATCGGTTATAGAATAAACATAATTCGGAACGTTACAATCTTTCTCCTTATCTTTGTGATTGTGACGTTTATTTTATAAATCTCTATTACGTATAATAATTTAGTATATTATAATAAATAGTTATTGGATGAAGGAAAGAAAGATATCGGTCGAAGACCGATATCCCCATCCAATAACTGTCGGTCATCAGAAATTAATGCTGGATGACTCATAAAAATATCGGTCATCATCGACTGAACAATAACCACAATAACCATATATTATAGGAAACAACAATTAAATGGAGTTTTCCGAAAAATTTTAATAACTACTATTCCAGTTATACTCGAACTATACTAAATTAATATATGTATATATAATTTGTATGCAGATTAATGAAACGGGGAGAAGATTTCTTTTATTCGAAAAAAAAAAGAATTAAAATCGGATGAATTCAGATGCAAATAATGCTTATAGTAATTAGTTGTGGTAAACATGAACAATTTTGGTACGGACTTTTCTAATGTACTTTATAAAGTATAATGATAATATCTTTTTCTCGTATGTAATGACTAATGACTAATAAATGCATTTATAAATAATTTTTATAAATAAATTATAGTGACATTTAACTACATGAAATATTTTTTTTTTCATACTATGAAAATTTATTATCTTTCACGACATTAATAATTAAATATGACTAAATTTTTCAGTTACTTATAGCCAATTTCACGAAATTCAAGTATTCGCGTCAAATGGATGGGTTAAAAAATGCATTAACAATTTGTTAGTTTAACAAAGATTCAACAGATGCATTAATATTATTAATATTGAATTCCTTGCATTATTTGATATCGTTTGATATTAACGCTTAAAGAATCTATTCTTTTCCAGGTCATTCTAGATGTTGACAAGATTCTCCACGCAATTCAACAAGTGTTAATATACTGTAATACGCAAGAATTTCCTATATAATGATTCTAAAACTACATATACCCATTGCTTGAGTATGAAACACTTCGGGTGCAATAGATGAAATTATTTTGAAGATTTTGCTTCATCATTCATTTTATTCAGAGGTCTGCATAATCCGATCGCAGGGTATAGATCCATTTTTATGGTAAATAATAAGTTCGCTATGAAAATCTTGAACACGGTCTTCATCGTAGACCTATTCAGCCGATCATTCCAGCTAATAGTATCCAATAATTACGCAATTAGTGGTACTTAGAATTGCACATATAAGGAGCTTGAACCTACAGCAATAGTATTCTTGTGCCATTTATTTACTAGTTCAGTTGTAATTGTTGTGTATCTTGTTAAATAATTACAAGATCCTATAAAAAATTTATTACAGATAAAATTTTTTACAGGGAGTTGGAGCATAACTTTTATTAAGGCAAGAATCTAACAGTTCTACTTCCAAAAAAAATATACTTTTTGATTGAAATAACAATTCAAAGGTACATACTACTTGGTAAAGATTAATAATAATTTTTCATCTGTGAAATTGAGAACATTCTGATACGTGAATTTACAATCATGTGGTGTTTTGACAATAGAAGAATTCAATGAATTTATTCGATGGCTACTTAGTATTGTAACTCCGGTATGTAGCACAAAATAAATTAAGATAACTTGACTCCGAAAAGAATTTTTGAAATCTTGAAAAAAAATTTTCTTGCACTTAGTGAAAATCATTGACCAATCTTATCATTAGATGAATCTAAAATTAACGATCAAAAATCTTTTTTAGAATTCTTTTTAAGTATTCCGAATTGTTATCGATCTATCAATAAATAAATAAATCTATTAAAGACAAAATATAATTTAAATTCTAACTTTCTATAGTATTAAAAATTATAAATTAACATTTAATTTTATTATAATTACTATACGGTATATTAGATGTTTTATCATAATAAATATAAAGCTTCACAATTTATTTTATAAATTATCGTATTATTACTTGTAGGTATATTCGTCATGCTAGAAACATTATACACAAATATTTCTTATAATTTATATTTTACAGTATCAATCTATAA